CGTGTTTTGCCGGACCGCGTGGGTTGTCGCGGACCCAGAAGCAGGAGGAGGAAACAAGAGGGTGGCGACGAACGACGGAAGAAGCGGCACAAGAGGAAAACGGCGAGAAAAAGAAGAGGGCGAGAGAGTGAACACGCGATCGATAGCCAAACTCCTGTTCGTCTACTGTGAAATGGACATCGACGTTATTCGAACGTTCGCAAAAAATTAACATTTGTCTTCATCGGATTTCTAGATGTTCTTTGAGGAGAATATACGGAAGGTCAGACACGATAACATCGCATAAAATTGTCACTAAATAACACTTTTGGTACAGGAATGTATAACTTGAAGTTCGATGAGAATGACTACGTACATGTTTTGTTTGTACTTTTGATACAAAATGGCTGCCGAAAGTGACTGATGTTGAAACGTAAAAAGAGTAACATGAAGTCGTGACTTAAAATTGTCACAAAATAGTACTTATGATACATCAAATTAAAGCTTGAAGTTCAACAAAAATGACTACGTAAAGGGTTTGTTGATATTCTTTATACAAAATGGCTGCTGTTTAATCATAGAGGAAAGTAACTGATGTTGAAACGTAAAAAGAGTAACATGAAGTCATGACTTAAAATTGTCACAATGTGGCACTTATGATACATCAAATTAAAGCTTGAAGTTCAACAAAAATGACTACGTAAAGGGTTTGTTGATATTCTTAAAACAAAATGGCTGCTGTTTAATCATAGAAGAAAGTGATTGATGTTGAAACGTAAAAAGACTAACATGAAGTCATGACTTAAAATTGTCACAATGTGGCACTTATGATACATCAAATTAAAGCTTGAAGTTCAACAAAAATGACTACGTAAAGGGTTTGTTGATGTTTGTTATACAAAATGGCTGCTGTTTAATCATAGAAGAAAGTGACTGATGGTGAAACGTAAAAAGACTAACATGGAGTCATGACTTAAAATTGTCGCAATGTGGCACTTATGATACATGAATTTAAAGCTTGAAGTTTAACAAAAATGACTATGTAAAGGGTTTGTTGATATTCGTTATACAAAATGGCTGCTGTTTAATTATAGAAGAAAGTGACTGATGGTGAAATATAAAAAGACTAACATAAATTCATGACTTAAAAGTGTCTCAAAATGGCACTTATGATACATGAAAATAAAGCTTGAAGACTCAAGAAAATTACCACGTAAATGTTTTACTAATATTTCTAATACAAAATGGCTGCTGTTTAATCATAGCTAAAATGTGTCTGATGTTAAAACATAAAAAGTCAGATACAACTTCATGACATAAAAGTGTTTCAAAATGGCACTTATGATACATGAAAATAAAGCTTGAGGACCTAAGAAAATTACCACGTAAATATTTTACTAATATTTCTAATGTAAAATGGCTGCTGTTTAATCATAGCTGAAAGTGTCTGATGTTAAAACATAAAAAGTCAGATACAACTTCATGACATAAAAGTGTTTCAAAATGGCACTTATGATACATGAAAATAAAGCTTGAAGTCCCACAAAAATTACTATGTAAAAATTTCATTAATATTTCTAATACAAAATGGCTGCTGTTTACTCATAGCTGAAAGTGTCTGATGTTAAAGCATAAAAAGTCAGATACAACTTCATGACATAAAAGTGTTTCAAAATAGCACTTATGATACATGAAAATAAAGCTTGAAGACCCAGGAAAATGACCACAAGAAGTACAATAAAGAAAGAGATACAAAATTACAATTCAGATGACAATTTCCAATAGTTGGTAACTGGTAACCATTCTAATTCTGTATGCAATAACTCGACAACGAATTACAATAACCCGACAACAAATTGCAATAATCTTATACCAAATAACCTTCTAACAAAGTACAATAACCCAACAACGAATCGCAATAACTCGCACCAAATATCTCAAGACTAATTTTCCCAAAGACCATACATCAAGAAATATGAGGATAATGCGAAAGAGGGACACCATCCAGAGTAAATATCGCGTTAGTCGCTAATGACTGTTCTAAGTTTGCTGGAGACGATGTCGCGGACAACGAACCTTCTTCTCCGTCTCTATCCACGCGACATTTCACCGCCTAAGTGGGCTACCGAAATTCCGATTGTCGCGTCGAAGTGTTCTCGAAACTTCGCCACCGTTGTTTCCCCAAACTGCCAGCAATTAGAGCCAGTAACAGATAAATCCCTTTCTGATCACTCATGGTGTACAACTTAAGAACCGAATCGTAAACAACCCTCTAATGATCGAACTTCAGAAGGAAAAAGATCTGCAAGTCGGAAACGAATCGACACAAACTTCTTCAGAAATGAACCATCAATTGATCTTTACATACAAATTTAATGTTTGAAGAATTTATTGAAGAACCGAATCGTAAACAGCCTCTAAGAATTGATCTTCAGAGAGACAAACTCAAAGACCTGCAAGTCGAAAGCAAATGGACACAAAATTGTTCACAAGTGAACCATCAACTAAATATTAAATACAAATCTTCTGATTGAAGAATCTGGTGAGGAACCAAATCGTAAACCTCTAACAATCGATCTCTTTCTCAAAGCAAATCGAATCCCCTCACAAATCAAGAATTAAATAAAAATGTCTCCTTGGAGGAAATTAGACGAAGCCTACGAGGAGGGTCGGTCTCTGAAAGAGGAGGAAAAAGGGAAAGAAAGACGCAAGAGCAAGTGCAATCTAAATATAAAAAATTAGAGTGGTCAGAGAGGAGCATGTGACGCGAACCGTTCGTGTTACGTAAGAGCCGTGATTATCGGTATAAATAGGCGTTTCCTTACATAATTACAGCAGGGAACGGGTTCGCGAACGCGTCACGAAAACGAAAGCTGCATTGCCGAAAATCAGCTGACGAGTTAACGGGGAATGAAGGTGGCCGCCATCGGATATGACAGGCACGCGGAACAATACCAACTGTTTCGCGTGTGCGCCAACACGTATCATATATACAAAACACCAGACATATTTATACGTGTATCGACGTTTACGCGTTGCAACGATCCCACGAATATTGCCACCCCCTTCACACCCGTCGTGTAATAAGCGCATCTCTTCGTTAATACTTCTCTTCGTTCGCTTTACATTTTTTTTGAAAACATTTCTAGTTCGTTTGTGTGGAACTTTGTGGAACTTGATAATGAAATTTTTCTAACCACGCTTAATCATGAAATTCTTAAACTAACTTAACAATGAAATTTTTCTAACCTAACTTGACAATGAAATTCTTAACCTAACTTGACGATGAAATTCTTTTAACCTAACTTGACAATGAAATTCTTTTAACCTAACTTGACAATGAAATTTTTCTAACCTAACTTGACTATGAAATTTTCTTAACTTAACCTAACTATGAATTTTTTAGACTAATTTGATCATGAAATTTTCTTAACCTAACCTGACAATGAAATTTTTTTAACCTAACTTGACAATGAAATTCTTTTAACCTAACTTGACAATGAAATTCTTTTAACCTAACTTGACAATGAAATTCTTTTAACCTAACTTGACAATGAAATTCTTTTAACCTAACTTGACAATGAAATTTTTCTAACCTAACTTGACTATGAAATTTTCTTAACTTAACCTAACCATGAATTTTTTAGACTATCTTGACTATGAAATTTTCTTAATTTAACCTAACCATGAATTTTTTAGACTAATTTGACCATGAAATTTCCTTAACCTAACCTAACCATCAAACTTTTAACCTAACTTGGCCAGGAAATTTTCTTAACTTCACCTAACCATGAAATTTTTAGACTAATTTGACCATGAAATTTCCTTAACCTAATCTAACCATCAAATTGTTAGACTAATTTGATCATTAAATTTTCTTAACTTGACCTAACCATGAAATTTTTAGCCTAACTTGACCATGAAATTTTCTTAACCTAACCTAACCATCAATCTTTTAATCTAACTTGACTATGAAATTTTCTTAACTTGACCTAACCATGAAATTTTTAGACTAATTTGACCATGAAATTTTCTTAACTTAACCTAACCATCAAATTGTTAGACTAACTTGACCATGAAATTTTCTTAACTTGACCTAACCATGAATTGTTTAGACTAACTTGACCATCAAATTTTCTTAACCTAACCTAACTTAACCATGAAATTTTCCTAACCTAACTTAACCATCAACCCTATAACCTAACTCAACCATGAAATTTTCCTAACCTAACTCACTGAATAACAAATATCCGCGCAAACTTCAAAGCCCAAAGAATTAAAATCTCCATGCAAATTCTCTCCACAAAAAATTGTAGAGAACTGCTGGAATAAGAACACCGAACAAACTCAAGATGCACCTCCAGACAGAAGTGAATCACAATTTCCACGAAAACCGCTGGAGACTGAATTGAAAAGAAACATTGCCGGGCAAAACACTCGTGTTTACGTCTACGCTTCGCACTAATCGTGGCTCGAAAAACCTGATTCGCTGCACGCGAGTCGCACGTGTTCAACCCTCTGATCTTAATTCATCCCCTTGAGGAAATAGCTTTGAAAGAGATGCTTTGCTATTCTAAACTAAAGAAAAAAGGTATAACTACACTTTGGTAACCCATGCTGTCGATTTAATATAATAAATTGAACATTGGCTGTCATCTACACTTCTAGTTTAATAAGATCTGATTTAATCAAAGTAGAAATCAAAGTGGAAAGTAATAGTGAGGATTGCAGGGTGGCTTGCCGCGTGGTTCAAACAGTCGTATGTTTCAAACAAGGTTCACGATAGAAGTAGAATATACCAGCAGATCAGACTTAGTCACGGTACCATGCTGCACATGGTCCTCCATACTGAAACGCATCGACCTCCACACCATGGGTCTTCAAAACAACTGCACGAGTAAAGGTACACTACAAACCTACCCCAAGCACGCGGCAAAGAAGCATTCGAAGCATTCGGCACAAAGGACACTGGCATGGAATACAAGCGACTATTCTGGCAAAAAGTAATTCGAAAGAACCACCTGTCCTACGGAAGGGGCCTGCAGGTAAGTCGAGACATCCGGTTCCACCATGCAGCTCCTGAGAGTGTCCGGGATGAACATGAGTAGCTGGGACGTCGGCTGTGGCACAGGCTGAAGCCGGCTTGCACCGCGCTGACGGTCCTCCAGCGAGCGTGTGCTCGCTAGTAGCGTCGTCCTGACGCCGCCTTCCGGCCTAGGATCAGCAGGAAAGCACGGCTCCGACTACGCTAGGTCCCGAGCGTCGTATCGGGGGTCGTAGTTGGTCCACGGTCTCTCCCTCGACCCGTGTGGCGGCAGTAGTCCTGGTCGAGCTGTCTCCGCCGTCAGACAGTCTCCGAGGTGGCAGGAGGCTGTCCGGCACCCAGATCGCGTCTTCCTCCGGTGATCGCGCGCGTCGCAGCCGTACGCGTTGCTGCTCGTTACCACGTAACCGGTCGCGTTGCTGCTGCTGCTCTTGCTGAACCGTCGGCGGCTGTCGGGTGGTGGTGGAACACCGCACCCAGGCACACGCATCCTATCTAACCACGAGCCACGACTCCTAACTCTCGACTTTAGAGGCCCTCTCTGTATTCTCTCGTGGCACGCAAGACTCCGGCTATCTTTCTCTTCCTCCTCCCCTCTTTCTTTCACCGACCCCTACCTATCCCCTCTACTCTGGCCCTCCCTCTACCGTCCGCTCCCTCTCTTCCCTTCCAAAGACCGACCCCTTGCTCTTTTTTTTCTCTTTCCGAAGAAATTTTTTTCGAAATTCGAGTTACCCGAACACACGCTTCCTCTAGGTTCCCGTTCCCGTTCGGGAGACGGCAGAGCCCAGACTACGCCGACTCCGAGCCACCGGCGCTGCGTCGGCGTCGGCGTAAAAACCG